AAAACTTAGCTGGGCACGGTGGCACACACCTGTAGTCCCAGCTACTCGGGAGGCTGAGGCAAGAGGATTGCTTGAGCCTAAGAGTCAGAGGTTGCAATGAGCTATGATGCCACTGCACTCTAGCCAGGGTAACAGAGTGAGATTCTGTCTCAAAAAAATAAAAAATAAATAATAATTGATGCTTTCATTGGAGCACTGTCTTTCATTTGTTCCGTTATTCTCACTTTATCTTTTATAATTGATAATTGTTCCGACAGTTGAGTGACTGAAGCCTAATGGTTTCCCAATGAGTGATGGCATCTGGCCTTTCTCTGAAGGCTCATTTCTACTTTCGTTTCCATTGTAATCACCTTTCTCTTCGCTGCAGGCTCACCTGGACTTGCAGGGGACTTTAGCTTTGGAGGCATGGTCATAAGGGTACACAGGAACTCACAAAATTGAATAAAAAATTTAAGACAAAAGCGATGCTGTGTGTAAGCAACCGTATAGACAATGCCATAACTTGGGGTCACCCGTAACCTCGGTAATGCCTGTATCTCAAATAAGGGAAGGATGTCCATGATCACCATTTCTATTCAACATCATACTGAAGGTCTCAGCTAGTATAATACAGCAAGAAAACCAAAAAAGCATAAAGGTCGGAAAAAAAAAGGAAGTAAAACAGTATTTTTTCACAGATGATGTGATTATGTATCTAAAATAGCCAGAAGAATTTACAATTAGAATTAAGAAATAACATACTACACAATACACACATTTAACAAAAACCACTTGTATCCACTAAATCTATTGAAATAAAAAGAGAAAACCATTAAGAAATAACAATAACCTAAGAAGAAATGTGTAAAACTTCTACACCGAAAACTACAAAACACTAAGAGAAATCAAAGAATACCTAAATTAATGGAAAAATACACCTTGTATAGATTTTAAGCCTTAATATTGCAAAAATATCAGTTATCCCAAAATTTATCTAAAGATTCAAGGTGATCCCAGTTAAAACCCCAGCAGTGGGGTGTGGGTGGGGTGAGGGGGTCCTGACAACCTTTTTCTAATATTTATATGTAAACAGAATCTAGACAAGCCAAGATAAACTTGAAGAACAAAATTGGAGGATTTACACTATTAGATTCAAAGACTCACTATAAAGCTTCGGTAATTAAGACACTGAAGTATTGTCACAGAGATATAGAGGCCAATGGAACAGAATAGAAAGTCCTGAAATATACCTATGTATATTTGGTCATTTAACTTAATGACAAAGGCTCCATGGCAATTCAGTGGGAAAGGATAATTTTTTCAATAAATGGTGCTGAGATTTATGACAAAGGATCCACTACAATACAGGTAGGAAAAGAT